CTTATTTATCCCCTCCCCTGTTTTATTGTGAGCCGCCTGGAGTCCTTCGGGAGTGGGTGGCATACAAAACCAATAAACGAAACGAACGAATGAAACGAAAGGTGGGTTAGAAAGATAATATTATATTGGAGCCCTGGTGGCACAGTGATTAGTCTACAGTATTGTAGGCTAACACTGCCCACAGTCTGGAGTTTGATCCTGGTGGGCTCGAGATTGACTCAGCCTTTCATCCCAAAATTAGTAAAATCAATACCCAGATTGTTGGGATAATATGCTGACTTTGTAAACTGTTCAGAGAGTGCTATAAAGCACTATGGGGAGGTAAATAAGTCTAAGTGCAATTGCTATTAATATTGCTAATATCAGCTTTATGACAATTTATAATACATTTAATTCCAAATGTAATTACTATTCAATCTCTACATTTTTATTGTATAGAAAGGCTGAGAAAAATTATTTCTGCTTCAGGAAAAAATGAATGCTATTTGTTTTCTGGACCTCCCAAAGTTTCAGTTTCTAAAAGGTGTTGCAAAATATTGAGAAAAGTAACTATATGTTACAGTTTTAAGGTGTATGTGTCAATATGTGTATGTTCTTAGATACCGTTAAATCATAACAGGAAGACTTGATTTTTAAATAAAGAGAAGTCTCTAGATGTGGAAGCGACAGTTATTTATGAAATGGGAAACTGACAAGTTCTGGCATCTTATTTAGCCTACCAGTTTCTCAAGAACAAGAAACTTTATATTTATTACCTCAATTCCATTATTGGGATTGCCTTGTGACATTGCTAACAATTTATGAACTTTCCATTAAGAAGTTCAATATATCCAACTGAAATATTGCTCTTGTATACAGCTCAAAATCTGATCTGACTGAGCTTGCAGTGCAGTTCTACTCATGTGTGCTTATTGTAAGCCTGATTGTGTTCATTGGGGCGCATTGTCAAGTGGGCATGCATGGACTGTAGCCTCTTTGCAATGGATAGCCACTAGCCTAAACTTTATGAATCTTTAGATAGAAGTAATTTCACCTTGCTCACCCAAGCATCTTCTTCCTGTTGGTGTTTATCTCACTAGTAGTTAGCTTTACAAACTATTTATTCATTGGACTGGCAACAGTCAGTGAAGATTTCTCAGACTAGGAAGGAAAAATGGCATTTCAGCTGTTATATGAGTTTTCTTCATATAACTAAAACTTTAAAATTTCTAACATTGAGGAAAAGACTTCACATACAAAAAATTTATGGTGGTTTTAGAGTAGCAATACAGAACCTCCCAATCACAAAATGTTTATTTTTCTAAATTCCACCCACTCATCTTGGCCATGTCACTTTACTTACTTTCTTCTATCAGAAATATTGTAGTACAAAAAATATGCTATTTTCCTACACTGTTCTGTTGAAGTCTACTCTGCACATTAAAAAGAGTCAGCTTTTAAACCACTAAACTGATGAATAAAATGTGACCAGAAGTTTGCAAACTAAACGAGAGGTGTCCCAAAGGAATCTCTGAGATGGCAAACATCCTGGTAACAGAACCAAACATCTTTGCTCTAATTCCAGTTCAAAAGGTAAAAAACATATCTTACTCTATCCCATGTTCTCGTCTTGGTCAGAAGTATGATAACCAGCTTAGGATGCATCTGATAGCCATCTTCACTGAATGATAAATTCCTTCCTTCAAAAGTGACATTAATCAGGTATCTAAAAAGGAAAGAAGAAAAAACAATGAATATCATTAGGATGAATAGTGTGTCTACTATGAAAAATAGTAAGACTCTTGGTACAAGGTAGATAGTTAAAACAAAACATTGAATACTGTTGCCTGGAATAGTCCAGCAAATCAATTAAAAGTGGAAATGGGGGAAAGAAGGAAGGAAAAAATGGGAGAATACAAAGAACATTCTTAAATTCAAAAGTTTAGTAAATATTACCTATGTCATTAAAAAGTCCTGCTGACGTAATGAATTTTCCTCATTGGTTCATATCAAGTTCCTTCCTCAAATACCAGTAACTATGATATTTATATAAATGCATCTTTGCATCTTATTTAATTTCATTCTTTGCATCTTATTTAATTCTTTTCACTATAATGAGAATGAGCAAAGATAGGCACACTCCTTCTGTCAGTCGTTCTCTTCCACCAAGGTTGCAGGAAGTAGAGTGGTGAGGGAGGAAGAGACCAACCTGCCAAGCCAGCTAGACCAGCTGAACCTACCTTAGCAATGAATGGAGATATCACAACCAGATGACTTTATAGCATGAAGATTCATCAAGAATAAATATGCATATGGCAGGCTTAAATGTGCTCATCATTTAAGCAAATTCATCCATGTACGTTGATTTTAGCAATACATATGGATGTTTTTCATACTTATTTACTGTATTAGCAAATTAAATTTATTTTGCAATTCAATTGTTTATCCTGAGAATTCTACTACTCTTTAGAAAGTACAATATTACATACAGAAGTATTTTATTCTGCAATCTATTATTTATTTATTTAATCAATTAATTAATTCAAATGCCGTCTTCTCACAGACCGAGGCAGTTCTGGATAACTAGTTGATAACTATTTAATTTACTTATCTTGCATAGACAATCTGTCTTTATCACCTTTTAAAAAATAAAACCATACTAAACTTACTTATTTCGCTATAAGAAATTCAATACAATAGACTACAGCAGGCATGCAAAAGTTACAAACGCTAGTGGTAATGTCTTCCATCTTATAGTAGATACAACAATCACAATATAGTTTTGATATTTCAAACCAAGAAATGTTTTTCTATTTAATATGAGCCCAATTCACCTCACAGGTTGGGAAAAAAGAGAGGAAGATAGAGTATTATGTATGTTCATCACCTTGAATTACTTTTAGAGTGATACAGGTAGTCCTCAACTTATGACCAAAATATCTATTGCTAAGCAAGATAGTTGTTAAGTGAGTTTTGCCTTGTTTTATGATTCTTGTCACAGTTGTTAAGTGAATCACTGCAGTTGTTGAGTTAGTAACATGGTTGTTAAGCGACTCTGGCTTCACAATTGATTTTGCTCATCAGAAGGTTGCAAAAGGCAACCAATAACCCTGGGACAGTGTAACTGTTATAAATGCAGGCCAGTTGCCAATATTCAAATTTTGATCATGTGACATTGGGGATGCTGCAACAGTCAAAGTGTAAAAATGATCATGTCACTATTTTCAGTGACATTGTTACTTTTAACACTCGCTAAACAAATGGTTGTAAGCCTACCTGTAATAGTGGGATAGAAATGTAATATATAAATAAAATAAATATTTTATTTTCTAGCACATCATAAAACATATTGATTAAGTAACAAATAAGCAAATTGTAAAAAATCAGTTACAGAATCCTCAGTGCTTTCTACCCAGCTGAGTACTCTCTACTCAACTATGGAATCAGGTAATGAAACATCTGGAAGAAAACGACCAAGTTCAGAGAGACCAAGGACTCTTCAACCCTGAGTTACATACATTCTCTTCTATTGGTAAAACAAATTGCATAATTCAATGTTTAATAAAATTATTGACAAATAAAAATAGAAGGGAAGAAAAATAATAAAACACCTGAAATGCAAATCTTGATTATTTTATTAACTTAAAATTATTTCAGAGGTGTCTACTCAGAAATAAATTCAACCAAATTCAATGGGGCTACTTCTAGGTAAACATGTGCAATTGAACAATTAACAGATTATAATGTTGATAAATTTTGAAATGATTTCTGAAAGTATGATGCATAGAAGATGAAAATGTAAGTACATATGTAAAAAATAGTCCAATGAAATGCTGTCCCCAGAAGTGCCATTACACAGACAGATAGTTCTTGGATTACGACCACCCATTGAGTGACCAGAGATTATGTAAGTTTAACTTTCTTGTTTGAACAGAACATTTCCTTGAACAAAACTAAAGCAAACCTTGATCTATTCATTGAACAACCTAAGCTCAAAAGTTATTGGAATTTGTGTGTACATGATTGAAGCATCAGGCATGCTGGCCAATTAGCCCTTATGTAATCCAATTCCAAAGGGACACGGTGGCTCAGTGGCTAAGATGATGAGCTTGTCAATCAGAAAGGTTGGCAGTTCGGCGGTTCGAATCCCTAGCACTGCATAACAGAGCTCCTGTTACTTGTCCCAGCTTCTGCCAACTTAGCAGTTTAAAAGCTCATAAAAATGCAAGCAGAAAAATAGGAACCACCTTTGGTGGGAAGGCAACAGCGTTCCATGCACCTTCAGCATTTGGTCATACCAGCCACATGACCACAGTGACGTCTTTGGACACTGCTGGCTCTTCGGCTTTGAAACAGAGATGAGTACCGCCCCCTAGAGTTGGGAATGACTAGCACATATGTGCAAGGGGAACCTTTACCTATATCTAATCCAATTTCTCTTTGTGTTTCATGAGGTAGAGACTAGATTGTATACGTGATGATGTCATTAAGGGGCAAAAAGTCAAGTTGCATGAGATGGAAGGCAGTTTTATTGTCTTTCAATATTTATTTTGTAAGATGTTTGATCTGAGGCTTGACCAATTTGCCAACTGATTTTCTCAGGTTCTGTTTTATTTGGTTAGATAAGAAAAAATTCCCAACAGAAAGCGTCAAAGCAACTACTGTATAATAAGAAGAGCACCAACCAGGCCCAGTTGCCAAATCACTGTCATTTGGACCAGAATATTAGCTGCCTTCAGGAACAGATTGCGGTAGCACAGATGAAAAGCAGTTTAGACTGCAGAGTGAAATTGCCCAAAGAGTTGGAATTTTTAATTTCCATTATTATCTATAAAAATAGTGAAAAGTTGAACTTTATGACAGAATACTGTATGGCATTTACCAAGTATCCTGAGGTTGCAATATTAGAAAACAGAAGATGCTAAAAGCTGTATTGATATAATTCATTATTTCTTTGTGTTGAGAAGTTACCAAATCCACAGAATTTCGAAAGTACCATTTTCTAAAAAATATAATTTCCTAAATAGGTGATGTTGTGTATACACAACTCAGCGCATTATATCTTATAACTATCAGTCCATTCTGCAGTGTAATTAAAACTGGCACTAATTATTAGAGAATTATCATGATTTTTATTTAGGAAGTATATTCTGAGCTTTTTAAGAGCAGCTTCACAGTCCATTGATAGGATTAATCTCCCTATCTGAATTGCTAATGTTTCAGAAAGCAAATGAATTCCTTACTACTTTAGAAAATATGTATGCATCAAATATTTATACACATTCTCTCATTGAAATGTTGCCTTGTTTTTTCAACAGGTTTACCAGCATGATCACAATATAGAAAGCATCAGAAAAAATATATTTATACAAATTTATTTCCCCTTATATTAGAACTAGCAGTCTGAGATTTAAAAGGAAAGAAAATCAGTAAAACATGATTCCTCTTGAACAAAGTCAGTTAAGAGAAAAGTCATGTTCAACTCCCTCACAGATTTCATTTCTCCATAATTATCAACTTGCCAATTAACTAGGTTGCTCTGTTCAGCACAATTGGACTGAGATAACGTCAGGGAGTATTAAAAGATCAAAAACTGAAAGAATCTAAAATAAGCGGCATGGAGAACAATAGGGAAACTGATTTTTCTCAAGCAGTTCAATAAAGAACTCAAAGCAAGGGCATATCTAGCATTATTTCATAAGAGATCAGAGACAAAACAAATGATACAACACACTGATGAATTATAGATAATGGCAAAAACATCTGAAGCACAGGGCACAAACTTGATTCATATTTGCACCATGATATATCACCATCTGTGGACCTCTGACATAACACTAACATATAGAAAACTGGTGAGTTGTGAACAAAGGCACTAGTGGGCATGCACA